AGATGGATCCAGCGAAGATAGAGAAGGTGCAGAACTTTCCTAAACCTATCAACGTCACCCAAGTAAGAAGTTTCTTAAGACTCTGCAATTACTATAGAAAATTTGTAAAAGGATTTACAAAGAGATCTTCACCTTTAACAGAACTATTAAAGAAAGGAGAAGAGTTTAATTGGATGAATAGACAACAAAGGGCTTTTGAAGACTTGATAGAACAACTCACCACTGAGCATATATTAGTATATCCAAACTGGAAGCAACCATTCATCTTATCTACAGATGCATCAACATTTGCTTTAGGAGCAATTCTTTCACAACTAGATAATAAAGGAAATGAAAGAGTGATTGCATATGCTAGCAGACAACTAAGTTCAGCAGAGAAGAACTATGCAGCAACAGAATTAGAATACCTCGGCATTATATGGGCTATAAAACATTTTCGTACATACCTTAGTGGATCCAAGTTTAAATTAATTACGGATCATGCAGCATTGAAGTATTTAAACAATATGAAAGAACCAAAAGGAAAATTAGCTTGTTGGATTATGACATTACAATCATACAATTTCGAAGTAGAACATAGTTCAGGAAAGAAGCATCAGAATGTAGATGCAATGTCTAGAATAAAAACGGGATACTGGGATTGATTTAATTAAATAGAACATTTTAATTAATTAGTATTATTTATATATATAATTTTATTCTCTTCTCATATATTATTTAACTTTCTTGCAGACATGATGGCTTGGTGGATGATCATGACAGTGATGCACGGATCTGGTTGGGGTGCATTACATTTTTTACACTTAGTACATTTTTTACACTTTACACTTTTATAAATTAGTATTATACTATCTTTATTTATTATTTATCCAGATTTAATCTTTCCAGAATCATCTACAGGTGAAGAACAAAAGAAAATAAGAAGTCAATCAAGATATTTTCTTGTCAGAGAAGGTATCCTATACAAAAAGAATAGGAAGAACCCTCAAAGACCCACCCCTTCGGGTGGTGAAATCAAATGAGGTAGAAATCATTTTACACAACTTACATGCCAATTCGTTGGCTAGACACTTTGGAATTGAAGCAACCTATCATAGGATTGCTGAAAGATTTTACTTTGCCTGTTTTGCAGGAGCTTGATTTAGAAGGAGGAGTGATGTTACCAGGATTCGATTTGGATGTTCTTTTGGCCGAATTTAATTAATTCCAAAATTCTTAATTTTTATTATTATTATATTTTATTTATTTCTATTTTTTATAATCTTATTCATTATTTTATCTGTATTACATCTACCTTTGTAATACATTTTATTTTTAATTTTTATTTATTAATTATTTATATAACATTGTAATTTATTTAACTTTATTAAGGAAGAATCATCTTTCCATTATTTCAAATTTTGAAATTTTAGCACAATTTTGAAATATTGGCACAATTTTGAAATATTATTACAATATTGAAATAACTTTTCAATATTAAACAGAAATTTCAATTTTGAAATATTAGAATTACTAATTAATTGAATTGTATATAAGGAGCTTGAATTCAATGTACTTGTAAAGTAACTTTCTCATAAGTTAATTAGTTTTGACTAAGAAAACTAAATAAATAAAATAAATATTTTATTAAAATTATTATCTTTAAACAAAATTATTCACTAATAACAAAATCAATTCATTGATTTCTATTCATTCTGATCCACACTGTAAGTCAGCAAGTAGGCACCATGAATTGATGATAATAAATCAATTAACTTGCCTTATTATTTTTCTTTACAGTCAAAAAACTCTTGTTGTTAAAGGTTTGGCTTTTGGTTTATTTATTTATTTTTTTTTTATTCAACTATATTTCCTTTTTTTAAATGAAAATTATATTTACCTTTATAGCCACCAAATAATAATATAATTTTTTGTAATCTCATAATTTATTAGTTGTTCAGAGATAATGACTAACAACAATCCTTTTTCAACCAATATTTTAATTGATTAGGGTAAATGGAATAAACCAGCATATTTTTTCTTTTAGGGAGAGAAGTAATAAACAACTCCATTTTTCTTTCTTGTCAATATTTGATTGCATAATATGCAAGCAGTGATTATACAGTTCAAAAATTCATTTATCCCAAATAAATTTTATCACCAAATACTGAAAGCCTTGCATGATCTTCAATGGTCCTTCCAGTAATATAAACCCGCATGTATTTCTCCGAAGATTATACACGCACGTACGGGATTAATTATGGATATACCAGTATAACCTAATGAATAATCCCCAGCAGATTAAACAACCCATATAAAGATTTATAAATAAATCTCCTGTTTTGCTCAATGTAATAGAGCACAGCTTTATGAGGGCATGAAGATTTTTTTCAAAATCCATTAACGTAACCAATCATGTGCAAGTATATCTTCATCCAGTTTAATAATTATATTAAATTTAATAGCATAGAAAATATCAAGTAAACATATTGTATGATCTTCATTCAGAAATGAAACGTAAAGCCTACAGGTCCATTTCATTTCATCCTTCTATACCATTGTCAACTATCCTTGCTCAATATTTCTTTTTTAATATAACAAATGATATATATTAAATAATAATAAAAAAATATATATTAATAATAATTCAAGAATAATAATATATAATATAATATAAAAAATGTAAAAAAAGGAAATATAGTTGATTTAATTTTTTTTTATTTGTTCATTCATTATTTTATTTATTTATTTTGTCTTTCTTTTATTTATAGCTACCAATTCCCAGAGATCCTTTCCATGAAAAGTGAATTTTTCTGCAACTTGACACTAATAATTATCCACCATTGAAGATTCTCAACAACTCAAATAATATAATGATAAAAAAATATTCTCACACAAATCAACCTCTCCTCATTGGTGGATTCTTGCAAAAAAATTAAACTATTGATTGAGATTTTTTTTTTCCAGTGCAGACAGTGTGAATGGATATTTTTGTTGTGAATGAAAGACACATCATTCTAAGAGTTATATAATAAATATTTGTATTACTCATGATGTTAATCATCATTGTAACCAGAGTTCTTTTTATAAGAAAAATCAACATATTCACTTTAATATGATAATAATAATAATAAACAAATAAATAAATAAAAGATGCTAAAGAAAAATATACATTACAACAAGATGACTCCATAAAACAGTCTTATTGTTTAATAAAAAATGGGAAGAAAAGGAAAAGAAAAAAAGATTGTTTTGCACTTGTACAACCCAGATATTATTGTTATTACAGTATATATATATATATATATATATATATTCAAATCGTGTAACCAAACTGTTTCAAAAATAGCCGATCAGTTACACTTATGTTCGGTGCACATATTGCTTATTGACCACCCTTGAAATCTTGGCAGCTGATAATTGTCACCTCTTAGAGTGAAGAACCATTTCAGAACTGCTCCTATCACTTAAATTATTTATTGAAAAATTTGAATACCTACCATGCTAGATGTCAACAGTTTAATTAGTGCTTGAAGAAACTAATAATTAATTTTTGCAAGAATTTTTAAAGAATGAACTATTAGGAAAATTACCACAAGTAGAATTTTGCATGAAATTTGGAATTCTGCATAGCTTGCAAACAGAAGGTAATGATTGTGAACTATTTAGTACCATTTTAAAAGAAATTATTGAAGAAGGATGCAAACTTTACTGCAAGATATGACCAAGGTATTTGTTTTCCAATAGCTTTATAAAATTTTTTATGACAATAAAGTTATGTTATATTACTGCAGGATGTAAATTAGTAAGAGAAACATATATGTGAGCCTTGTTGGTAGACCCTGTGACATTGTATGCAATTTGAGTGTTTAATAGTGCTATATTGAGCTGCAGCTTACTGAATTAAACTGATTTATCAATAACTTTTTTTTTATAAGAATTATTAATTTTTAACAAATCTACCCATATTATCTTTTGCAGATATGATGTTTATGGTATAAGTTGAAATTGTTGATTGATGCTTAGGTAGATTTCTTAAGTAAAACAAAAAAAAGAAAGAAATATAATATAAATATAAATTATTTCAAGTTCTCGGTTTTGTAAATCAGAAATTTGGCTAAATCTAATATCAACATTTTGAGAGAAACAATTAAGGTTATTAATTAATTCAACTCTCTTACTACTAATCATACTAAAAGGTATGTATTCTCTTTTAATCCAATTATCAGAAAGGTAATATGACTAAAGATGGGAACCACAATTCAATTTTCATATGCCACAACTACTACAATTCAATTTTTATATGTTGCGATTAATTGAAGAGCCATCTTTAAATATGACAGTATACTCACAACTTTTAGGAGAAACTGATAGAAGAAAAACCAGAAGTTGTAAAAGATCACAAGCAAGTATTGTTAAAAATTTGTAGAGGTAGATGGATATAATGTACAATGATCCTCTTGTTAATGGTATGAGTGATCTCAGATGTGATCATTTTTGTTTGGCTGAAGAAAATTTTGATGGTATTGTTATTTATAACTGTTTAATATCAAAGAAATTCTTTTTTTTTTTTTTAACTAACTACATTACCTCCATCAGTCATAATCATTCAGCATTGAAAAAAAAATGAAAAAATAATTATTAAATTAAATTTTGAACCTCTTTTGGAATTTTTGAAAAGTAGATTATTTGAAAGTTATCAGGCTTATATACAATTTCAATTTCTTAAGATAATCCTAGTCATAATATCACTCATTATATTCATCATATTATATTTTGCAGGTTACTCCTACTGGTGTATTGTCACAATTGATAACTGAAGCACAATATAGAACTAATGAATTTGTTAAAGATGCATATGATATTCGAATTACAGCCAAGACACTTAAAAAACATCAACAAGCATATTATGCACATCAGGAAAATGAGAAAAGAAGATTAATAGCAGATGCAGGAACAGTCGAGAGAATGCAAGCCAATAATATTCATTTGTCCAATAAGATAAAAAATCTTGAAAGCAGTTTGCAAACCCTTGATAATGAACATGTTGAACTAGCCAATAATTTTATCAGTACTAAAATGGAACTTGCACAATGCAAAGATGAAAATGAAGATCTTTCTCAGATGATTATAAACCTACATAGAGGTTTGGAAACTCAGTCTAAAGAAATTGAAAGTAAATTGCAAGGTCAGATGGATGATTTAATTAAAAGGAATATTGATTTGATAGAAAAGAATAACTTATTGGAAAATCAACTTGAAATTTAGAAAACATGTTAAATAGAACTTAAGGTAAGATATGCAGAGAGCAAAAATGAAAGAGAAACATTGAAACAAAAATGGAGTGATTTGAAAAGAACCCTGGAATAAAAATAATATACATTTTGTCTTGTAATTATTAGATTAATTATTTATTTAGTATATAATTTATGATATAATGATAAATTGTTGTATATAATGATGGCCTTTTTCATTTAATCCAAAAACAAAGAGTTTTTCTTTATTATATTATTCTCATTTTTGTACTTTTAATAATATCTCTCTCCCCTAAAATAAACTCATGGATCTTACATAAGCATCATTTTATGAGTTTTCGTTTTGTGCAAAGTTAGATGTTAAAGATTTGTTATTTCAAATTATCATTTATATTCTTTAATAAATCACATGGAAAAATCAACATATTAATCAAAATAACAAAACAGCAAATCATATTGATGAACTGAAAACTTACTCCACAAGATTATTATTTTAATTTATCAATTGTTATTGTTATTAAAAACTGTATTTGCTGATCTAGAAGAGTGGAACTGATGATGTTGTATTAAATTATTTGTAGCCTGGATGGAAAAAATATTTCTTCTTTGTCTTTGCATTTTTTCATTAACTTGTTTAATCCATGAGTGGAACATTGAACATTGCATCCAAGATGCATTATTCCAATAATACCACACTGGTAATGTTTTTTTGTCAACATTATGAATACATTTTGAATTTTTATATTTTTGAATAAAAACAGCTGGTAATCTTTGAGTACCATTTGCATTACATGCAAGCATTATTGTAACTCTGTTTTTAGGTTTCTTTGTACCAATGATAGGGCCATGAGAAAGAGTTTATTTGCTTCTAATTTCCAATAAAGGGCAGTCTCATCAGCATTATAAACATCACTTAAATCATATTGTGCAATTAAAGACTTCAATTCAATTCTAAATGTTGGCAAATCATCAATTGGTGCACTTGCTGCCTCGCCTGATTTATAATGTTCCTTTATATTTTCTTTTCTTAAAATTAAACAACCATCCCTATTAATTAAATAGTATAATAGATGAATAATTATTATGTGCAGATTTTTCATAAAGAAGACAAAATTAATAATACTTTCTTGTGATGCTGAAATCCATTAATATCAAGTTTTCTAGCATAATCTATTGCCTTTTGACAAATAATAGCACCATTTATTGTATGATTTGCTCTATTTGCATGATCAATCCAAATTGTCAATGCATTTTCTAATTGTGGCCATTCACCTTTAACGTTCTCTTTTTTTAATGGTGTCTGAATCTGCATTAATTGCAAGCCATCTAACTTTTTCCCTAAGAATATCCCCTACTGTTGATTTACTAATTCCAAATTCATTTCTAATTTGTTCATTTGTTTTAGTTGGATTAGCAATTTTATATTCACATAATTCCTTTTTTTTAATATTAGTAAGAGCGACCAATTTTCTTCCTGTCCTGCTTCCACCTTTACTAGATGATCCTTCAGTATTCATAATTATAAGGATTTTATAAATGTAAATGAGATTTTAAAAATATTTATTTACACTGATCTTTTATATAAGTTGTTCGGAGGATTGTGAAATCAACCTTTTTATATAGTGCAAGACACCTAGTCCCACAACTTTTTATTGGCCTTGTAGATCCTTCTCTAACTCCAAAAATGGAAATG